CAAAATGCCACAACGGAGAACTTATTGATACTTTGGTAAATTTTTCACCTCTCCCTCACAACCCGAAAATTAAAGCAGCATTCTGTTATAGAGTCATACAGTTATACAATACGGAAACAGAGCCTTTGATCAAACATGTCCATGCTGATCAGATATCCTAAACTGACCTAGTCCCATTTGCCAATATTTGTCCCATATCCCTTCCTAAATCCTTCCTATGCACGTACGCATCCAAATGCCTTTTAAATGTTGTGGTTGTACCCACCTCCACCACTTCCTCTGGCAGCTTGTTCCATACATACACCACCCTCTGAGAAAAAGTTAATCCTTGTATCCTTTTAAATCTTTCCCCTCTCATCTTAAAGCTATGTCCTCTAGTTTTGGACTCCCACACCCTTGGAAAAAGATCTTGGCTGCTCACCATATCCATGCCTCTCGTGATTTTATAAACCTCTATAAAGGTCACCCCTGAGTCTCCGACGCTCCAGGGAAAAAAGCTTCAGGCTATTCAGCCTCTCCCTGTAGCTCAAACCCTCCAGCCCTGGCTACATTCTTGTAAATTTTTTCTGCACCCTCTCAAGTTTAACCACATCATTCCTATAGAAGGCCGATCCAGAATTGTATGCAGCACTCTGAAGTGGCCTCAACAATGTCCTGTACAGCCATAACACGACATCTCAACTCCTATACTCAATGTTCTGACCATTGAAGGCAAGCATGCCAAACACTTTCTTCACCACCGTGTCTACTTGCAAATCCATTTTCAAAGAACTATGCATCTTCAACCCTACGTCTTTTAGTTCGGCAACACTCCCCAGGGCCTGACCATTAACTGTGTAAGTCCTACCCTGGTTTGCCTTACCAAAATGCAACACCTCACATTTATCTAAATTAAACTCCATCAGCCACTCCTCAGCCCGTTGGCCCATCTGATTAAAGTCCTGTTGTACTCAGAGATAATCTTCACTGTCAACTACACCACCTACTTTCATGTCATCTGCAAACTCACTAACCATACCTCCTATATTCACATCCATATCATTTATATGAATGATGAAAAGTACGATGGGACAATTCTCCTCCCATCACCACCACACACCATCCCATCCCACAACAAAAAGGAACATGCTAATGCTTCAGTTCACTAAGAAATTTCACTTAGTATCACAGCTTATTTCAGGTGAAGTAAAAGACTTTTAATATTGCAAGATGGTTTAAAAATTAATTCATACAAACGGAAAGACATGCTTGTAAGATCACAGATATAACGGTCTTGGGAACACTGTTTAAAAGCTTGTGCTCACAAGTCTTTCTGTTGGTTCATAAAAAGTAAATTCTTATCAATCCCCACATCCTCAAACACCTCTAACAATCTCTTTTAAATGTTTCAACTTATCTTCTTCAGACTACAAGTTCAAAATCGTAGCATTGTATTACTCAAAAAAGAAAAATTCTAAGACAGGTACAAGTCAGGCACAGTCCATTAAAAAATACTAACCACTAAACATACTGTAAACCAAGACTTTCAAGCAACACTGCCCAAGGCTCTGCCTACCAGATGGAATCTTAAATCAATGTCATATCTGTCCTCTCAGCTGAATGTCATAGAGTCATAGAGATGTACAGCACAGAAACAGACCCTTCGGTCCAACTTGTCCATGTCAATCAGATATCCTAGGGAAATCTAGTCTCATTTTCCAGCATTTGGTCCATATCCTCTAAACCCTTCCTATTCATATACCAATCCAGATGCCTTTTAAATGTTGTAATTGTACCAGCCTCTTCAGACAGCTCACACCATACACACCATCCTCTGCATGAAAAAAGTTGCCCCTTAGGTCCCTTTTAAATCTTTCTTTTCTCACCTTAAACCAATGCCCTCTAGTTTTGGACTCCCCCACCCCAGGGAAAGACCTTGTGCATTCACCCTATCCATGCCCCTCATGATTTTATAACCCTCTATAAAGGTCACTCCTCAGCATCTGATGCTCCAGGGAAAATAGCCACAGTTTATTCAGCCTGTCCCTTTAGCTCAAACCCTCCAACTCTGGCAACATCCTTGTAAATCTTTCCTGAACCCTTTCAAGTTTCACAACAATCTTCCTATAGCACGGAGACCAGAATAGCACACCAATTCCAACAATGGCCTAACTAATTGTCCTCTACAGCCACAAAATGACCTCCCAACTCCTACATTCAATGCACTGACCAATAAAGGCAAGCATACCAAACATCGTCTTCACTATCCTATCTACCTGTGACTCCACTTGCAAGGAACTATGAACCTACACTCCAAGGTCTCTTTGTTCAGCAACACTCCCCAGGGCCTTACCATTAAGTGTATAAGTACTGTCCTGATTTGCCTTTCCAAAATGCAGCACCTCACATTTATCTAAATTAAACTCCATCTGCCACTCTTCAGCCCATTGGCCATCTGCTCAAGATCCTGTTATACTCGGAGGTAACCTTCTTTGCTGTACACTACACCTCTAATTTTGGTGTCATCTGCAAACTTACTAACCATAGCTCTTACATTCACATGCAAATTATTTATATAAATGATGAAAACAATGGACCCAACACTAATTTTTGTGGCACACAGCTGGTCACAGGCCTCCAGTCTGAAAAGCAACCATCCACCACCATTCTCTGACTTCTACCTTCGAGCCAGTTCTGCACCTAAATGGCTAGTTCTCCTTGTATTCCATGTGATCTAACCTTGCTAACCAATCTACTAGGTGGAACCTTGTCAAAGGCCTTGCTGAAGTCCATATAGATTACGTCCACCACTCGACCCTCATCAGTCCTCTTCATTACTTCTTCAAAAAATTCAATTAACTTAATGAAACATGACTTCCCATGCATAAAGCCACAGTGACTATCCCCAATCAGCCCTTACCTTTCCAAATACATAGAAATCCTGTGCCTCAGGATAGCATCCAACAGCTTGCCACCACTGATGTCAGGCTCACCAGTCTATAGTTCCCTGGCTTTTCCTCACCACCTTTCTTAAATAATGGCACCACGTTAGCCAACCTCCAGTCTTCTAGAACCTCACCTTGCCAATTGATAACACAAGTGATGGCACAATTTGAACAGCAGGGGAATTTTAGTGTTGTTCTGGCCAACTCTCATCACTCAACGAACATCATTCAAATAGATAAATAGGTAAGTATTATGGATGCTGCAAATCTGAAATAAAAACAAATGCAGGAAACGCACAGCATCTAGTCAGAAGTTAATGAATTCAGGCATTGTGTCTTACAGTATGGTGTTTTGATAATACATGCTTCTTTCATGACTTGGAGACAAATTGTGTGCAGTGGGTACTAACAGTCTCAGATTGCAAGAGTCAGGTTTTAGCTTCTGGTTCATAGAAGACGTCTGCTTTCAGGGAAAAAAAAAGACAGTAAAACCCGAAGCCGAAGTGGAGGGAACTCACTAAATATTCTTAAATAATACCATATATGTGAGATGAATGAGAATACCTGTCCCCTCACATTGTAAACTACAAAAGGCAAACTAGAATTATTCTCTGAACAAGCAGGTCATATTGTCATAAATTTATATGTTCAATATCTGATAAAACATACACACTTCCATTCAATTACAATTTAAGATTAACTACTGTCAAAAATGAACTAAGAAAATGTCAGTACCCATCCATATAAATATTAGTGACTGTTTTAACACCCAGCATACAACCCACAAGGATGTCTGCCAGAATTATGTAAGTGGCCTTGATAATAACCTTCTAAAACCTCCTCTCATTTGCTAGAAAACTGGTATCTCCTGGTGGATCTGGAATGCTCACAGTTGTCTTTAACTTGCTACAGAAATGATAGTCTCCAAGACAAACTTTTATACAATGGAGTTGCATGTTACACTTACCTTACAAAATGTGTCAATGACTTTCCACATAACCCCTGCAGTAGATCACAGACAACTGGATATCTGCAATACAAGCCTTTGTCTCAAAGATAGCTGCTTCTTCTACAAACCTCTCTCGCCAAAACACCAACACGGCTTGGTCATCTGACTCCCACAGTGTGAAAGCCAAAAGCTTTGTATGATTTTAAACAGCAGAGGTTTGGGGCGAGTGCTGCTCCACACAACATCTACTGAATATCATCACTCCACACAAAGGGTGGTTCATATGTGGAATGAACTGCCAGAGGAAATGGCAGACGCAGGTATGGTTATTTTGGATAGGTACATGAATAGGAAAGGTTTAGAGGGATATGTGCCAAACACAGCCAAGTGGGACTAGTTTAGTTTGGGAAATTTGGTCAGTATGGACAAGTTGGACCAAAGGGTCTGTTTCCGTGCTGTACGACTCTATGTCAACATTTGCTACCCATCCCTAATTCCCCTTGAACTGAGTGGCTCGGTTGGCCTTTTCAGAGGGTAGGTTGGTATTCATCTGGAGTGACATATCTGGAGACTAGATTGGAAAGGGTGGCAGGATTCCTTCTTTAAAAGGATATTAGCAAACCAGATGGATATGTATCAATTGATGATTGTTTCAAGATTGCTATTACTGAGATTTTTTATTCTATATTTCTTTATTTAATTTAAATTCCATCAGCAGCTTTACTGAGATTTGGACCTCACAGCACTAGCCTGGGCTTCTGAATACCTAGTTCAAGTACATCACTACAATGCAACTGCCTCCACCTTTTGTACAGCAAAAATATGTCCACTGTGCTACAATGGCATTTCAAAATGGCAAACTTACAACAATACAAGTGATTTATTTTGAAATGCTGCAAATAAGGCAATCTCCATTTTTGGAGATTTAAAGATTAACATCCATAGTACTCAAGTGAAATGTCTCAACAGTATGAAGTACAAAAGACAAGTAATAGTTCATCACAACTTAAATTCATGCTTTCAATCAAACAAATAATTCTAGTTAAATACATATAATTATTTTTATAAGAACACACACCAGTTATCAAGCAATAAACAAGGCAGATAGTCAGACAGAAGTTACTTACCTTTTCCTAAATGGGTATTAATGCTCATATATCTGGCTGTTCCAGTAAGGCTCTTGTGTTCTCTGTAAGGGATGTGCTTTTTTGTCTCTGGGTCTATGTATTCTTTAGCAAGGCCAAAATCTATTATGTGAATTACATTCTGATTTTTGCTTCCCGGTCGTCCCACTAAGAAGTTTTCTGGCTTTACATCTCTATATATCAAGTTCTTAGAGTGCACGTACTCCATTCGGGAAATCTTTTTGAAGGAGGAAGTGAAGAAAGAAGAAAATAAAATAAAACAAAACATCAAATCATGATATCCTTAATAAAGCTTATGTAAACTAAAAAAAAAAAATCAGTATCCAAAACATTATTCACCATGAGAAAAAAAGTGCTGACTTCAAAGATTTTGGAACTCATTCAACCATTACTCCAAATGTGACTGCAAACACTTGTAACATCACCCATGGCCTGGTACATTAGTTGGTACACTGTCAACTTATTACAGTTAATAAATAGTTTTGTCATTGTCAATAGCCCGGAACTAAATATTTACAGGTAGCACATCCCAGTTTTAAAGCCAGGATGCTTACACTCAGGACTTGACCATGGAGGTCAGTGTGCTAATACAAAACTGAATTGGGATAGGATTACAATGCACTGACTCAACCTTCCCACAGAAGTCAGAAAATTGGCAACCTTTTGCAAGCTCAGAATGCAGAGGCTACCAACTTTGCACAAATTCTACAATTTTTTTAAAAGAAAACAACCTTCAATATTGTGGTAACAAGGTGCAAGGCTGGATGAACACAGCAGGCCAAGCAACCTTCAATATTGTTCCTCCATACAGCCAGGCCACATTTCAGATTGAAATTCTGAATAGGATCTCCATGGATCATCTGTTGTTTGAAAGGGTATCAGTGCTTCATCTGCATGTCTTACTTGAAACAGTATATCTCTTAAGAAAAAACACATTCCCTCAGTATTGCACTGGAGCTCAGGCTTGGAAGAAGTACTCAACTCACTGCAGTGTGGATTGAAACCAAGGTCAAACAAAAGGCTGCCACCGAGACAAGGTTAACACACACACTTCATTTGAACAGTCATGGATTATTGAACCCAAAAAAATTGTCGCAACTCAGTCTAAATCTTTCTAAAACATAACACAATATAAACAAGTTGATCTTTAGCTATGGTATGCATTCTTGATGTGTGTGGAACTGTTACAAGCACTCTCACAGGCTGTCTGGAATCTCGTTTTCTCAATATAATGAAAAAGACAACTCCCCATCTGGTCTAATAGCTTAGCTTGGCAAAACAATAGCAAAAACTACATTGTTTTTATCTGAATACAATCATTAATTGAACAATGCCATACAGAGGGATGAGAGAAATTAAAGTTGTAAATAAAATCTATTTGATAATACTACACGGTGGCACCAAGGATTGTATATCTTCTGTCCAAACTCTTCATCACAAAACTGGTTAAATGAAAGCACACTTGTGGAAATAAAAATAAACTTAAAAAGCCTAGAATAGTACAAAATCAGAGGAAAAGTTAATAAATCTGGAATATAAAACTAGTCTCAGTAATGGTGACCTTGACAACCCATGTCAATTGCAGTAAAAACCCATGTTATTCCTTTAGGGAAAGCATTCTGCCGTCCTCCAGCCTATATGTGGCTCCAGATTCACAGCAATGCAGTCAACTTTCAACTCAATTCTAGCCTAGCAAGCCACTCATTTCAAGGGCAATGAGGGATGTGCAACAAATCCCAAGGACACCCACATTCCATTTAGGTCTAAAAAAAAGGAGGGAGAAACGTAATCAGGAACTAAAGACATTTCAGGCTGACAAGTGCCCTGGAACTTTTGGGCAGCATCCTGGGGTCTTGGAAGAAGTGGCCATAGAGGTAATGGATGCATTTAAAGTCATAGAGATATACAGTGGGGAAACAGATCCTTCAGTCCCACTCATCCATGCTGGCCAGATATCCTAAATAAATCTAGTCCCGTTTGCCAACATTTGGTCCACATCCCTCTAAACCCTTCCTATTCAAATACCCATCCAGATGCCATTAAATGTTGTAATTGTACCAGCCTCTACACCAATTCCTCTGACAGCTCATTCCATACATACAGCACCCTCTGCGTGAAAAATTTGCCCCTTAGGTCCCTTTTAAATCTTTCCCCTCTCACCTTAAACCTATGCCCTCTAGTTTTGGACTCCCCCACCCCAGGGAAAAAACCTTGCCACTTTACCCTATCCATGCCCCTCATGATTTTATAAACCTCTATAATGTCTCCCCTCAACCTCTGATGTTCCAGGGAAAATAGCCCAAGACTATTCAGCCTCTCCCTATAGCTCAAACGCTCCAACCCTGGCAACATCCTTGTAAATCTTTCCTGAACCCTTTCAAGTTTCGTAACATCCTTCCTTTGGAAGGGAGACCAGAACTGCACACAATATTCCAATAGTGGCCTAACCGATTGTCCTGTACAGCCACAAAATGACCTCCCAAATCCTATACTCAATGAAAACCGAAAGAACTGCGGATGCTGTAAATCAGGAACAAAAACAGAAGTTGCTGGAAAAGCTCAGCAGGTCTGGCAGCATCAGTGAAGAAAAATATGAGAGTTACCGTTTCGGGTCCGATGATCAGTTCTGAGGAAGGTATATTCACAACCAAATCATTTATATAAATGACGAAAAATAGTGGACCCAGCAGCAATCCTTGTCATAACCTTTCAAAATTCCCTAGGCTTTATGAAGTGGATTTAAAAACCACAAACATAATTACTCTGCTCAAGAAAGGAGGGAGACGTATAGCAGGAAACTAGGCCAGTTTGTCTAACTTCAGTCACAGGGAAAATACTAGTTTCCTTTATTAAAGAGTTAGACCAACAAGATTTAGAAAATCAAAAAAAAAACTAATGTGGTTTTATTGAAGAGAAGTTGTATTTGACAAACTCCTTAGTTTTTTTTCAGGATGTAACAAGTAGGGTGCATAAAAAGGAACCAGTAGATGACATGTTTCTAGATTACCAAAAGGCATTCAATAAAAGGTTATTACACATAGCTATACCTTATGGTGCTGGGGTTAATATATCAGCACAAACAGAGGATTGGCTAACTAACAGAGCTAGCAGGGAACAGAGTGTCTTGATGAATGGGTCATTTTCAGGATGGGAAGCTGACTAGTTGAGTGCCACAAGGTCAGTGCTGGGACCTTGACTATCTATGCTATTTATTATTGACTTAAATAAATGGATCGACTGTATTGTAGCTAAATTTGCTGACGATATTGGATGGGGAGGAAAGCAAGTTGTAGGGAGGATACAAAAAGCATGCAAAGGGATATGGATAGGTTAAGTAATTGGGCAAAGGTTTGGCAGATGATGCATTGTGTAGGAAAACATGAGGTTGTCCACTTGAGAAGATTATTTAAATAAAGAAAGACTGGAGAATGCTGCAGGACAGGGGGATCTGGGTGTCTTTATACAAGAATCACAGGAAGTCAGCATGTAGGCGTGGCAAATAATTAGAAAGGGAAACTGAATGTTGGCAATTACTGAAAGATGTTTAGAGTCTAGAAGAAGGGAAGTCTTTCTACAACTGTAAAGGGCATTAGTGAGACAACATCACTAGTACCATGCACACAGTTCTGGTCACCTCAGTTAAAGAGGAGCATACTTGCATTAGAAGCATTTCAGACAAGGTTCATTCCTGGTTCTTGGGAGAAGAGATTTGCCTTCTGAAGAAAGGTTAAGCAGGATAGACCAATACACACTGGAGATCAAAAGAATGAGAGGTGTTCTTCTTGAAACATGGAAGATCCTGAGGGACTTTGACAAGATAGTTGCTGAGAGTACCTCAACAAGATCTAGACCTGGGTGCATTTTAAAAATAGGTGGCAGCCCATTAAAGACGACAAGGAAATATTTCTACTCCCAGAGCATCATTAGTGTTTGGAATTGTCTTCCAGAGTGAGCAGTGGAGACTGGGTTATTAAATATATTCAAGGCTAGACTAGACAGATTTCTGATCAAGGAGGCAAGTAGAAAAGTGGAGTTATAACTAATCACATCAGTCACCCTGTTACTGAATGGCAGAGCAGGCTCGTAATGGTAAATACCCTACTCCTGTTCTTATAGGTTTATTTTTACATTTTGAAACATCCTTGATGCTGTTCCAATGAAAGAATGTCATCTTTTCTCTTACGTTTTTTCTTTCTTTTCATTTCCTTCTTCTATACAGTTACATGTTTCAACTAATGAGCTGAAATTCAATTCTATTTTTGCACATCAGTACTTACCAATTTATACACTACTGAACTCCAAATCAATGTTCGATAAAATAATATTAAAAAATAATTTTTACAAAGTATATATATTATACATACAAAGACATTCGATAAAAAGAAAGTAAAAACCCTGAACTAGGAATACTTATGCTGGATTTTATCAGTTCTATTTTCATTCTATTGTGCTCCAATGACAGAAAGCTGGGTTTGAAACAGCTTTCAATAAAGTCATCACATTTTGGGTTCTCAGGTGATAGTAGAATAAACACAAATACACAGAGTAGCTGATTTTACATTATCAAATGTTAGAACATACGTCTTTACACAGCAGAAAGGTGGGATTGGTAGCATTTTTCCTCTGATTTGGGAAGTTGTGTGTTTCAAAGTCCACTGCAGAGATTTGAGTGTATATCCAGCCTGACTCCCCAGAATGGCACAATTAAGGCCTGCATCTTTCAAACTGAGGTCCAGGCTGCCCTCTCAGGTGGCTAGGAAAAGTGCCACAGCACATTTTCAAATCAAGGGAGTTGCCCCTGGTGTCATGACCCACGTTTAACCCTCAATCAACATCAATAGAACAGACCATTGGTACTCATCACTTTCAATTTCTGGATTTGCCATACACTGTTTAGCTGTGTTTCTTAAATTACTGATTACATTTCACAAGTAATTCATCGGCTGTACAACAATTTGGGATTGCTGAGGTTGTGAAAGGTGCCGTACAAGTGCAAGCCTTTCTTTGCTCTTTATACTCAATGGAGTTCATTGTACTCTGTGTGCGGAACATTGTTAACAAGGGCTGGTGACAGCCTTTGTGAGTTTTTGCTTATTTTTTACTGCTGATTTTGAGAGACAAGTTTTATGAGCAGAAGTACTGCACAAAAAGCAAGGTTGAGAAATATCTGCACGTGGAGCAAACTGTCAAACTCCAAAAATACAGCCTATTTCAATG